GTCGAGCTCCTCCTCCGCCTTCAACCTCCTCCTCCGCGATCTGGCCTTCAACCTAGGTTGGACCTCTTTTAATTTTCAGGTGCGTTTTTAATGTTTTGGTGCCTTCAATTCGAATTAGTTAATTAACTTCGTCCTTCAATTATTTTTCAGTTAATTAAATTCGAATCAGGCAATATATACATTAAGGAGCTGTTTCCTTAGAAAGTTTTTTTTAATTTTAAATTTTGGACCATTCAGTCCAAAATCAAATCCGAGACCATTGTAGCTATCAGAATTCTACAAAATCAATAACTTTGGAGGTTTTTGCTTTTAATTATTTGGTTGGATGGAAATTAAATTAGATAAAAAAGTTGAAACTAAAGACTCATTTTTCTCTCTGCTACTAAAATGCGCTAGTGAAGACGGGAATTTTTACATTTCAGGAAACAGGCTTCAGGAAGATTTTTGGCTCCTTTCTCTCCCGATTGAGAGGGTATGCAAGTTACTTATATCAAACCAATGCATAACAAAAAAGTTATGGTTGTTGTTTTACTTTATGTCCGACAAGTACTATGTCCGTGCTTGCATGGATTGTTTTGATATCTTTGGTTTATATTTGTTGATTTATACACATTCAAATGCGTTAAGCTACACTAGTATACACATTCAAATGCGCATCATAGTGTTTACTGTTTAGCATTATTACCGTTAGCTGCAAATATATATATAAGCATGTTTGTTCTTGTGATTTTTTTGACTGTCCTCTTAAGATGATTTATATATAATCTATGGATTCATTTGTTTATTTTTGTGCATGGTTGTCTTTGATGGTTTGTGCTTGATGTTTGTTCTTGATGTTTGTTCTTGTAGGTAAAAATTATTCTTTGATGGTTTGTGCTTGATGTTTGATCCAATGGAAACTGAAGATAGTTGCTCCCATGTTGTTGATGAACAATTCTCTCAGTTAGATAACTTAGTTGTGCCAATTGTTGATGAGCACTTAAAACCAAAAATAGGAATGACTTTCGGCAGTTTAGAAGACGCTGAAAAATTCTACAGAAATTACGGAAAGGCCGGAGGTTTTGATATCCATAATAGCACAACAAATTATGGGAAGGATAGAGAGTTAATTTGCAAAAGTTATGTTTGTTCGAAAGAAGGAGTGTTAAAGAGCAAATCGTTGGATTTTCGACGATGTGGTACAATTAGAACAAATTGTAAGGCCTTGATTCGCTTGAAATTAGACAAAAAAATGGGCATATGGAGTGTCTACAAGTTCGTGGAAGAACATAATCATACATTTATTTCACCGAGTAGAACACATTTTCTAAGGGGAAACCGTGAGGTAACAAGTGCGAAGAAGACATTGATAAAGCAGTTTGGAGAGGTGAACATTCCAACAAACAAGCAAATGACCTTCTTTGAAAACTCTAGCGGAGGTTTTCATAGAATTGGATGCATTGAGACCGATGTGAGAAATTATGAAAGAGATTTGAGAGAGGAGAGGCGCGGTCATGATGCACAAATGATGTTGGATCATTTCAAGTCGGAACAAGAGAAGAATCCTTCATTTTATTATGTTTATGAAGTTGATGAAGAGAAGCGCTTAACTCATTGTTTTTGGGTGGATGGCATTGCTCGAATGAATTATCAACACTTTGGCGATGTTGTCTCCTTCGATGCCACGCATAACACAAATCAATATGGCTTGGTATTTGTGCCGTTTGTAGGCATAAATCACCATTGGCAAAGTGTTTTTTTAGGATGTGGCTTGATCCCAAACGAAGAGGCGAAGTCTTTTGTATGGTTGTTTAACAAATGGAATGAAGCAATGGGTCATCCTCCTTCAGGCATGATTACAGATCAATGTCTTGGCATATGCAAGGCAATTGAAACAGTTTTTCCAGAAATTCGGCATAGGTTTTGCATTTGGCATATCTTGGACAAAGTTCCGGAGAAGTTGGGTAAATTGGCTTATAGAACAGAATTTATGAAATCTTTCAAAGAAAATATTTGGGACTCCGACGATGCTAGCTCTTTTGAAGAGAAATGGGTTTCAATTATTAAGAAAAATGGATTGGAAAAGCATGATTGGCTAAATGATATCTATGAAATTCGTGAAAAATGGGCTCCGGTTTATCATAAACAACACTTTTGGGCCGGAATGTCTAGCAGTCAAAGAAGTGAAGGGATGAATGCATTGCTAAAAATGCATGTGTCAAGGAAAAATTCACTTCATGATTTTGTGATCATATTTCAGAGGGTCTTGGCGAGACAAAGAGAGGGGGAGCTTAAAGAAGATCATTGCACAGTAGAGAAAAAGCCAAAATTAAAGACTTTATGGTCAATGGAAAAACAAATGGCCCAAATCTACACGAAAAAAATCTTTTATATTTTTCAAGACGAGCTTCAACCTAGCTTAATGTATAGATTTGATGCAAGGTCTACTCATTGTCCCCTGCAGCAATCTACTCAACAAGTTCTGAGCATGTATAATGACCTCTACAGAATTCAGATGAGAAAATGCAACCAATTAGTATCATGCTAAAATTAAAACATTTACTCATTCTTGCATTTGGAACATTGATTGATTCAGCACTTGATAATCATGGATTCTTGGGAAAATGAAAACTTGTTCACACATATAAGTACACATCTTCTCTAGTTTTAAGCTTAACCATCACTATCAGCTTAATTTCCATTAAGTATTTCCTGAGGGAATGTGTTTGTTTAGAAGGCACCACCTGGTCACACATATTCAAATAAGATTTCATTTAGTGGTGAAACCACAATCAGGCCATATATATATTTCACAAAGACGAATTTACATACTTGTAAGGCCACTAATTCAAACCACTGAAAGGAAACTGATAACTAAATTGCTTAGCTAATGAAATGGTCGAAGAGGGGCTATCTTCTAATGACGCGTATGAATTAATGCGTGAAATGATGATGGATGCTATTAATAAGGTGCAACGTTTGAAACTCATCAATGATGAAGAAATTGGACAAGATGTGGAATGTTAAGAAAATACAACAAACTCTCCATTCACTTGAATGTTCTTCTCATCATTCACAACATTCTCATGTTAAGAAAATACAATAAACTCAAAACACAATCTCATGTTAAGAAAATACAACAAACTCAAAACATAGCATTCTCAGAAAATACAACAGACTTGAATGTTCTTCTCATCATTCACAACAAACTCGCAGCAAACTCAAAACAGCAAACTCAAGGCAACAAACACTTTTCAGCAAACTCAAATGTCATTAGGGAAACAATTTTTCAGCAAACTCAGAAAATACAACAAACTAATATGTTGCTCAGTCATTTGACTATAACACAGAACAACAATATCAGTACAACGATACTTAAAAATTTCAAATATAAAATTACATCATTCAACAATTTTTTCAACACCTCATCATTTTTTTCTAGCCTTTCCAGCCTTTTTGTGATGTTCTTGTTATCACCAACCCATTCGAAGAAGTTGCAACCCTTGCAATTAGGTCCCTTGTATCTCGGGCATCCATAAAATTCCAAGCCGTTATTGTGTCCTTGCTTGCACATCCGTATTTTGCAAATTAACCCACAATAACATTTTCTTTGAACTAAACCCTCATCTTCTTCTCCACTGAACTCACACGAAAAGTTCTTCATTATGGCACGCGATGTCTTAAGATAGAAAACAAGATGCATATAAATTCAGTAAGTTGACAGATATAATAGGCAGATAAAAAGCAATGACACCCCCTTTCCATCTTCTACCAACCAAAAATTCAGTAGATACAAAAGATATCCATCTTCTACCAAAAATTCAGTAAATTCAGTAAGTTGCAAACAAGGAAATATAATAGGCAGATATCCATCTTCTACCAAGCAAAAATGAGAATAGAAAATAAACTATGAGAAAAGGATAGCCCCTTCATAGATACAAAAGATACCAGAAAACCCAATCAAGAATTACCTAAACAAATTTCGCGCAGTGCTGTAGATATGCGGATGCAACGGTGCTGTATTCAAAAAAATCACCTGATCAACAAAACCCATCAAACAAAACCCACATATATGTCGGGTCTTTCATGTCACCTTATGCGATTTTACTTCATTTTCGCTTTCCTTGGCCGTCTTTGGATGAAGTTACTAAATGTGAATCTCTTTGTGCAGGGGTTTATGTGAAGAAATTCAGCAATCATCCAAAGAGGGCTGTATCTTTAATG